AAGGGGGTTGAGGTGGGGATCGCCTCGAGGAGCGTCCACGGACGATAATAAAGGGTGATTTGTAGTTCCAGTTCGCCGACGTCATGGCTGGTGTAGAGGTCATGTAGGTGTCCAGATGTCCTTCCAACCAGTCTCGGACAAAGGTTTGTCGCTGGTGGGGTGATTGAATCAAAATCGACGTTCCATTATGTCGTTTCCCGTTGCCCTAATAGAAAGCCCAAGATAAGTATACGTAATTTGCGCATCACACTCGACCCACGTAACCGCACACTGAAATTGGGTCGATCTTGAACAGTGAGGAGCGCTTTCCTGGCAGCCTGAAAGGTAACTGATTGATAAATCAGATATGAAGGGCTCCCGTCGATGACGGCTTACCATCTCAGCACGTTGAACTGTCCGAACCGTTGGGACCATCGTCGTAATCTTGAGTCTGTTGTTCTGGTAAGTTCACAGACAAATGTTAACAGATATAAAACACCCACCTCAACTTGAAACGTCGATGTCCTACTTGTAAAGGTAGAATCTATGACGGTGATGAGTTCGCCCCTTCTGATTGGGCACGTCATTTTGGTTCAAGAGGGCATAGGCCCTTACATATGGAACCCGCAATCTGAGCCGGTCATGGACATCGAGTTGTGCATCCCTTCTGGGGTGAAGATTTGTCACGACTGATTATCAGATAGTGCATGAGAGCTGAGGTGGGGGACAATTCTCTTTATATCAATAATGATCAGCTTTGTACGAGGTAAAAAGCTCGAAAAGAACTTGAACTGACAAGCAATGCATACAAAGTGAAGATGCTAGTTTGCATGAGCGCCAAGCTGGCAATGCCTGACACGTAACAAGCTGCAGCCACGGCTTATGGGAAGGGAAAACCTCGTATACTATCGGTTCCACACTGGGCCTATTCCTGGTGTGTCTTGGGATGCATGGAAGGGTGCTTGCCTTTAAACCTAGCACCCAGAAACATTATCACTCTAAAAAAAAAAATCGTCCCATGCAACCGATGACACCGAAGAGTACTTTACTGGCGGCCTCGATGTCGGCGAGACGTACAGTGTGACTTTTCGATTTATAATTAGATCAAGCAGCTTCCGTAAAAACCATAAAACCTTACATGCGCCCACCACTTTCACACCTGCCATTCGGACCGAGGGCAAAGTTTTGTGAGGGAAGGGTATGTCGCGTCTGTGGCCAAGAAGTCAGATGGTGGTGAGCGCCACGATGTCCTTAATGGTAAGAACAGTCAGCTTCAGCAAAGGCGCGAAGCGCAAGAAACGACTCACCGTGAAGGGCGCAAGATCGAAATCTCCGCACACTTGGGCTGAGGAAGGAGCGAGCTACCTAAGTGCCTTCATGAGGTGCTTTAGACAGTGGCAAATCAGGAAAGTCGTTTACCGCTACTCCAGCAAAGGCAGGTGTTTAGAGGGAGGCAGCGCACTTCCAGCATCCGCTTCTTGGTGCAAAATTCCATGTACAACTGACTTGGTCAGGCGCCAGACTCGACGACTCTAGAGCAGCATGACGGCTTGGAGTTACAGTGAGCAGTTTAGGGCCGTGAACTTCTGCCAATGATTGATGAGGACTTACTAGAGTCCTGACTGGAGCCCCGAGCATCCCACACCACGCGGTTGTAGCCATATCAGTGCTTCTTTGACGCATGCCCAACTTGGTACAAAATATTATCTAAATGACGACCTTTTGATGAGACAGAAAAAACACGGATGCTAGTAAAGGACATACCGTTGAAAAACGGATTGATTTCCGACTTCATGACTCCAAGCGATGGTGACCAACTTGGCCTCATGTATTGTTCTTTACGTCGGTCGACTGAAGCGAAAGGACAGTCACTTTCAACCACCTACAACCAACGACGCCTGAATGCCGTACTCAAAGCTATTGAAATGCAGATATCAGCCTTGAAAAGTCAACGTTTCCGCAAAAATCGTTGGTACAAACCCCTTGATTTTCCGCAAGCGCGCTGACACCTCGTAGTACAAGCCAGAACCGAAGCTCTGCTGAGCTGAAGTTGAGAATGAAAGTGATCAGGTTGCCGACGAGGCCCGGGACGTAGTGGCAGTACAGATCGTGTTCAGAGATGGTGGAGAACTAGAGAGGTAGATGGAGCTGGTGGTGGCTGATTTGTAGGCGTAGTCTGCCATGCTCGTTTCCATTTTTTAGAATTCAAAGTTGAACTCGACCAAGTGGGGGTCGAAGACGAACTTGACAAGGCCGCGCTACAGTAGCAGCAGTGAATGGCACCCTCGAAGATGAAGTCGACGTTGAAGAATCCCAAGAGGAACAATGCCCATACCGGCGCGATACAGGGGCAAAGGTTCAACTGACAAAAATGCTCCACATGATCGTTCGCATCCGCCGTCTGAGATTGGGCTTGAGAAGCACAAACAGCCGGTGATTCGTAATGTGCGTGTTGCGTGGAGCAGAAGTTGTGTTTGAAGTCCCTTTTTGAATCCCACCCTCCTTTCACGCATTCAGTCCCACAGAAACCCTGGCATTTCTCCATTGGAAACTGATCACCCTCAGCTGCAGCCTGCGCCCACCCAGCATCGAACACGTTATGGAGGGAGGACGTGGAAGTGACGAGGCAGAGTTTGGGTTGTCCGACGCATCGAGGGAAGTTTGTACGAGGGTAGGGATGAAGATTTGAAGTGGGGGGGGAGGCAGTTAAGGCGGAAGACGAGGCTTTCGAGGTGGAATGTGGGATTGAGGCAGAAGGGAAATTTTGGAGGATTACTTTGGGGAGGGGCGGAGGAGGTTCTTTGCGAAGGCTCTGCATACAGGGATGGATGCTGGCGAGGTGGGCCATGCAAGGGCCATGTAAACTTGGATGGCGGGATTACTTAGGATCTGAAGATCTGAAGGGGCGAGGGAGCGCGAAGGAGGGTCGAAGCCATGTGCTTATGTTGAGTTTATGTGAGGGGTGTTGGATAGTGCTTCAACGAGTCCTGGTTTACACTGACTGGTCGTGTACGAGCACTGCGTGTGCTTCTAGAGTGGTGGCCTGTGGGGACGGGACTTGATCATCACGCGCATCTGAGGATGGCCATTTTATGTTGTAAGAAAGAAGCTCAAAATTCGGGAGACATACTATTGTGTTGTTTGTAGTTGCAACAAGGCCATGTTGGACGTTGGATGAGGAGTGGATGGGGAGGTGTGAGTCACGAGCGCCGTGCGCATGCTGATTGTCGAATGTGACTACTCTGCAGTGAGGTTTCAACCGCCTCTGCTTCGGCACCACGCAGTTGTTTGAGGAGGTTCTATACAAAAACAGCTCTCCGTCAACCCAACCTCCATGCACCCTCCTAGTAAGTCCACAATCGCGTCATTCATCTCCTACAAACTTATCCAGGCATAACCAATCCAGTCTAACCTATTTGCCGTACGCGAGTACCTACTTACGAAACACAGCTGTATACACTCGGTACGTCCACGATCATCTACGTCCGAGTCATTTACTCAAGAGCAACAGATAAATTCGTCGCGGGGTGACTTTTTGGTGCACATGTTCCCCGTGTGGGCATGGTAAGCCCCTCTCCATTCCTCGTCTCGTCTCGTCGCGAAAACTGAGTTGTAACTTATGAACAGGGAAAAAGGAGTCATCCCCCAATCCCGAGACTTCCTCCCACCAGACGAACAATAGCTAGTAATGCGTGGCATCCCCAGTGAAACTCAATGCAATGCATTTAAATTTCCTGCTCAACAGGCCGTCTTCTTTTCTTTCTTCATAACCACCACCATCGGCTCCGCCCACTCGACTAATGCGCACGCCGTCGCTCTACAGCCAGGATGATCCCATCTCCCCGCCGCCCTCAAACCATCACCCATGGAGACGGAGGCAGAGCGTACGTCCCGTCTGTACGCAGAAGCCGAGGCGAAACGGGTTTCTGAGCAAATCGACGACGACCTGCGGGAGGAGCGGGAGCGATTGAAGAAGAAGAAGGGCGACGTCAAGGTCAGTGCGCTTTACAATTATGCGCCGCATATACTCATCCTGCGCTGCTAGCTTCTTCTGCTTGGTCAAGCCGAGAGCGGGAAATCGACGCTGCAGAAACAGTTCCAGCTCATGTATAAGCCCACTTCGATGGATCAAGAACGCGCATCTTGGACAGCGGTCATCTACTTCAACGTCGTTCATTCATTGAAACACATCCTAGCTACGCTTGAAGCTTGGGACGACACTCTTGACGAAGACGCCGAGGCGCAACCTACATCGACGGACGATTCACAGTCTATCATACCAAATAAGGCTCACGGGAACGGTATCGCAGATCAGCTGTCACCATCTACTTCTCTCTTGACCGGCAGCATTACCCAAGGATCACCAAGTTCCCTGATGCCGTCGGAGGCCAGCGGCTCCCACTCCCATTCGATGAAAGAGGGCGGCGCCCTTCAGATAGCCAACCTTCGACGCAGGTTGTCCCCATTGGTAGCTGCGGACGCGCAGCTCGCGGACAGACTCTGTGGTGGTAAGGGTGGCATCTTTGTGCGTAGTGGTTGGCAGGCCCGTACCATCGAGAATGCTCTCGGAAAAATCAAACAAAAACGCCCTTCGGCCAAAAGTGAAAAGAAGACTCGTGAGATTGAACCCCAGGAACCGCAGGACCCTTTGGTTCAGGACGTTGGGCGAATGCTGGAGCTCTCCGTTCAGGATATCAGGGAGTTGTGGCATCATCCCACTGTCAAGGGGTTAATCGCCAAACGGAAACTGAAACTTGATGAATGGTCCGAATTGTACGTCGCCTACCTTGGTCTCTAGTATTCTATTCTGATCTTGTTTCTCTAGTTTCCTGAAGAACATCACGCTTGTCGCATCGCCGGACTACGTCCCAAGCATAGGTAAAGTAGTTATTCTTGCTGTTTATCGCGCATATATTCACCTTATCCCACCAGACGACATCCTCCATGCTCGTATCCAAACTATGGGAGTCACTGAGCACATCTTTGATGTGAATATCCACGGGAAATCTGTGACCTGGCATCTATTTGACGTAGGTGGTGCTCGAGGACAGAGACACTCGTGGGTGCCATACTTCGATGATGCGAACACTATCATTTTTGTAGCTCCCGTGAGCGCATTTGATCAGGCGAGTCTCTTTCTTTTCCCTTGGCGTTTGCGCCATCCTCCATTTCTATCACTTTCTTTGAAACGTGGCAACCACCAGCGTGCTTCTCTGTTTCGTTTTGTGGCTACTTTCTCAACTCTCATTTTTCGGCCACGTTGCTGGTAACCATGCTAACAAATCCATTTAGTATCTCGAAGAAGACCCTCGGACGAACAAGATAGACGACTCTCTGCAATTATTCACGCAAATATGTTCGAACGCCCTGCTGAAGAACGTTCACTTGGTCCTCTTCCTGAGTGCGTAGATGCGCTGGGGTTCTTCTCATCGTTCCTTTGTGCTCATTCATCACAATTCTTTTTTCACAGATAAGACGGATCTGCTCAAGGCGAAGCTCGACACCGGACTCAAGGTCCGGAAGTAGTGAGTCATCCCGTTTGCAACCAGGTTCTTATCACTCACCCCTCATCAGCATCACGTCCTTCGGCGATCGGTCCAACGATTACGACACCGTCGTTCAATACTTCCGTGCTCACTTCCTGCAGGTTCATACTTAGACGAAACAACGAGAATCGTCGGGTGCTGTATACTCATTTTACAAGTGTAGTGGTGAGTTGTTTTTCGGCGAAACCTAAAAAAAACTTTCTCATATTTGACGTCTAGGACACAAAGGCGACGCAGCGTATCATTGGAAACGGTACGCTCCATTGCAGCGCCTTGGATTGTTTTGCTGACTGTCTTGTTTAGTTCGCGACTCAATCTTCCGAGGTTACCTCCAGTCTGCAGCCCTCGTTTGATCTGCTTTGCTTTCTCTTGCTAGATCCCACTGCTCTCGTCGCATCTCCATCATTGATTGTTGTATTCACTCTGATATCCTGGCTACTATGCCTGTCACATCAAGATTCGCATTGACATCCTCAACATTCTCAACAATCCCGCCATATTATATCTCTTGCAATGTCTCCCCTAATCCTTAATTCTTCTGAAACCTCTAACCCTACACACATTTATTGACCGCTACTCTTGCCGATTTTCCCCTCCCATGAACATGATCATGACCATGTACCACACTCTCCTCCATACCTCGTCTTCTGTTGTCCACATCCCCCAAGAAAATGTATAAACTAGACACGCTGTCCCTTCTCCGCGCTCTGATCCCGACTAGGTTTTTATTGTCGTATTATACAATGCTGTATGTGTAATTAATTGGTGATGATAGTCCATTTTTTGCTCGCCCGTGCATTACGGACCGCGACCTATTGACTCCTAAGTATGTGGTGATTCTTTGCGAAAAAAAAGAGAGGCATCGGGGTTTTTGTCGTCAAAATGGAGATACGGTCCTGTTTCAGAGCTTGCTGATATCATATCCTATCAGATTATTTCTCTCTTCATTTCAATCATCGGAAATTGACAATCTATTTTTATGAGCAGATAATGATTGGCATGGCCCGGGTGAGGCGCAAAAGCACGGAGGTGTTTGAATAGCTAGGCATATTGAGGCATACAGACATCGGCAGCTTTGCGATTCCAACAGATTTACAACGGAAATGATAATTGGTAAAATGACCATGATGCACTTCAAGTTCGAATGGAACCCGATTACAATTTTTGAACTGCAGCTGCTGAGATAAAGTCAGCACACCGAGTTGAAAAAAACATGAATGAGTAGGTGCATACGTTCAAGAAGTTCCAAAGCCTTGGCCTTCTCTACAACTTGCATAAATTTGGCATACCCTTGCTCATCGAGTATATTGAGATCCCACCGATTTTTCCAAGGGGGTCCTAGGATTCAAAAAATATACCCGGGGTCGATTTTTTTTTAAAGTGCTTACTGGCTTGACCTACCTACCTACGTAATCAGGCACATGTCCATATATGGTAATATGACATCATCATTCTGATCAACTTTGTCCCAGATACGTTGCAAACCCAATTTTATGAAACTATTTCCTACCAAATGCAATGTACTATTATGTAGATGATACTGGATATAGGTGAGTGACTTGTAAATTTTATTATATGGAACATATTTCAATGTTGGAAAGTCTGGCTTATCCAAATTTTGAAATTGGTACATTTGGTGTTCAAATTAGTATTAAGAACAAGTTTCTAAACAAGTAAGTGAGATTTAATGACTATACTTCTTTAATTGAGTTTTGTGACATTGACACTTGGCAGAGATTAGATAAGATTTTAAAAAATATGACATAATGCTTCAATATTGCAGTGTCAGAGAATTAAAAAATCTCAGATTTGGAAAAACTGGTTGGCTGGTGGCTGGTGGTCGTCGTAATGGCGGGTTCCAAGGGTAAGGAGGCATTTCGTAGGCCTCTGCGCCAACTCAAACTTCTTCCCAGGAAAAGCTCGGCCTCGCCGGGCCTTTTCTCCTCGAGCTCCGCTCACCACACACGGTCTCGACACCGACCTCTGACTCAGTGCCAAAGTTTGGCAGATGCTGAGTTAGGAGAAGATGTCGGTGTCGTTTCCCCCTCTCCTGGTGCTGGCTCTCCTTCAGACCACGTCTATCCAGCCCAGGTAAGCGCCCCGCGCCCTCCATCTTCATGCGCCACATGCTCACCCAAAATGCACAGTGATCTCGCTCTAGGCTCCGCCTATCTATCTTATCAACACTTAATCACTGGTCATTTGGTGAGGCTCTCTCTATTTCAGACGCCGTCCGCTTTTCTTACATCTATCTGGTTCAGACTTCGTTTGCCAGATAGTAAGAAGGCTCGTAAAACTCAGC